GTACAAGAACGGCCAGCACACTTTAACAGAGTTTATGGGCACTGAACCTTCCAAGAAGAGGAAGCGCCGCACAAGTTTCACTCCGCAGGCTCTCGAAGTTCTTAATGGTCACTTCGAGCGGAACACGCACCCATCAGGTTGGTGTCCCAGGAAATCTAAAAACTCCCAGGAAATCTAAGAGTCCAGAAAGGCATATGCTATTCACATGTTTGATGTATGCTACTGAGTTTCCTGCGTTACTTCCATTGAATAAGATATATACTAATTAGGTTAATATAAGGATAAATAATTATATAATGTGATCTCTTCGTCACAGTAGTGGTGGATTGTTTGGATACCATAGATTTAACAGGTGTCTATGCCCTTGGTCTTACGAGGAAAATCGTAATGTATGTATAGTGGGAACTTAGTTAACTTAAGTAGAACAATTTACCTCGAAGTAAATGTGACAATATAATCCTTGGTGTTGCTACGTAAAATGGAAAAGGGATTATGTTGCTTCAACATAAGTGACAGAATTGACTTTTCTTGTCCTGTCGACTCATGAATATCGCTATCGGGATATAGCGAGATCAATCATTTGTAGCAAAAGGGCCCTTTACAACTGAAGAGCGATGGTTTTTGTTTTGGAGTCCCTGAAGATCGTAGGGACAGATTTTCGTTAATCAGTTTCTGAGATCTGATCTGAGTGATTGACGATACAAAGTTTCGGAAAATCAGGCTAAAACATTGGTAGTTTTTTTTCTTCCGTGTGTGTGTGTGTGTGTGTGTGTGTGTGTGTGTGTGTGTGTGTGTTGTTGCGTGTGTCTGTTTGTGTGTGAAAGATATTACATGTATTTGCTTGTAAATATACAAGATAGCAGTAGGTTACATGATATATGAGCCAAATATTTAAATGTTTTCTCTCTTTACAGGTGCCGAGATCACAGCTCTAGCTGAGCAGCTAGGCTATGAACGTGAAGTTGTGAGGATCTGGTTCTGTAATAAGCGGCAGGCTTTGAAAAACACTGTTCGCATGATGGCTAAGTCCAGCCCCACGGCGCCTCCCCCTCCACCTCCACCCCATCCAACTCTTAATTAAGGACCAATGAAATGAACAAAGATCAACGGATACATAGTCAACAAGAAAAATAGCAAGAAACGTAAAACTTTAAGAATTTCTATTCAAAATAGAATACTTTGCAGCAAGTCAGATGTTTATGTTTCTGGAAAAACATACCAAAGGGAACAAGCTTAAAAATGCTATGCCGAATATTGGTTGTCATCATTATATGATTGATAATCTAAAGTATGCATATATATATATATACATATATATATGTATATATATACATATATATGTATGCACACACACACACGCGCACGCACGCACGCACGCACGCACGCACGCACGCACGCACACACACACACACACACACACACACACACACACACACACACACACACACACACACACACACACACATGAATGTGTGTGTGTGGTGTTGTGTGTGTGTGTGTGTGTGTGTATGTGTGTGTGTGTTGTGTGTGTGGTGTGTGTGTGTGTGTGTGTGTGTGTGTGTGTGTGGTGTGTGTTGTTATATGTATATGTGTATAACATACATGCATACGTTGCGTACATACATATTACCCCCCCTCCCCAGAAAAAAAAATCTGTTTATGTATGCTGTGTTCGCGTGTCTAGTATGCATCCAGAGCAGGTGATAATGAAGAGGAAGTTCTCAAAGGTAGTTATTAAACAAATGATGAAAAATGCTTATAAATAATGAATGGGTGAAGTGATAAAAGTTACAAAGTCATATATAGACAAGTGCAAAGTTATAGATCATTCGAATTCTGCCTTTGATTGTAGTATCTAAAATATGTGATGAAAAAAGAACGTATACTCGCCCAAGTCTCCGAGCTTTATGAGTTTTTAGTGTCTACGCAGTTTATGCTCTCGGGAAAGGTACTTTCCCTGTGCTCAAACAATGCTACAAATATATTCCTAGAAGAGACATCAGTGAAGAAATTCGTTCCGCATAGTAAACATGAAAATAAAGATACCTCCAGCGTACATACTGTCCAATGCAACGATAATTGGGGAGTCTGAAGATGGCCGTAGGTGTTAATGTACTTGGATATTTTTTCGTTGTTGCTTCTATTAAAAGAACTGGAGGAGCCATGCAGCTGAAAAATATGTAATATTATATATGGTCAGCGTTTGGTAAAAAAAGGCTAAGCTGTGAGGGTAATAAGTGTGCAAGAAGGGCATACACGTGAAGTCCCACTGAACAATTAGGACACGCAGTAGATACTCACAAAGTCGAGTATTAGATGTAGTACATTGAGCTTGAGAAGCTGTTTCTTCTTTTACAAGTTAGAATAAGCGTAGACTGATTTCTACTGTATCGTATAACGGACGCGTTAATGTTATACTGTAGAGTATGATCTCGCTACCCAACTGACACAGTGTGTTAATTATAGGATATTTATTCGTCTTTGAGAACAATCTTTGCCGTTAATATTCTTTAAGCTTTTGAAATACTCGCCGTATCCATAAAGATATTGATAAATGAATTATAAAGTTGAAAGTCATCAACTGCCCCTGGGTCCCTGTGTGACCTTGTGAAGTCATATCATTATAGGCCTGTGCCGCTCTAACCATGGTTGTTTGTGCTGTTTGTATCTATGTCACGTAATGTTAGGAAGACATGCTATCCATCACACCCCTTGGCTTGCGCTGGCTGCTCATGTTCGAATGTGTGTCCACTTTCATAAACCCTTACATTTATCGTTATAAGAAAATTGCCTTGAAAGGTGGCTAGATTACTCTTTTGAGAAAAAATAGGCAACTAAAAAATAGATAGCTGGTATGTTCGATGTTACATGAGGATATCGAGTGTCACATTTCTTTTAGTAGTCTTCTTTTATGATGAATTCAAATAAGTAGTTAGGGAGAGAGAGAGAGAGAGAGAGAGAGAGAGAGAGAGAGAGAGAGAATGGATGAATGAATGAATGAATGACATAGACAAGTAAATGGTCGATAAGGACTGATGAGAGACAGATAATAGTGAAGGACTTACGTTGTGTAGCTTCACGTAGGTGACAACATCTGGTGTTACACCAAATATTAGAAATATATCTAATAATTATTACATTTATTTTCTTCAGGTCAATTAAGATGGAATATATCCTAATTCTTAACTACGAATGGTATATTCGTATCCTGGCCCTCGTTTCTCATTTCACCATAACGATTTTTATATATCTATACGCAGAAACTGTTGTTTTCATCGGTAAGTGATGTTACAACAAACCTAGTCATAATTGCAAATATTTGGTATTCATTATTCAGAAGAGAGAGAAGGGGAGGGGAGGAGGCGAATAAGTTGAAATGCCGAGTTGATCTCTCTCTAGAACACTCATCTAGTACCGGATGATCTACATTTGACTAAAAGGGAAAGGCATTCATTCGTGCAGATTAGAATAATCAGTTATATGCGCGTCTACTAAAAACGAAACAATTTTGTAATAAGACTGTCTTGTTTCCCGGTGTTTGTGATCTGACCGAAAATCTGTATATCTCTGCAGTTAGATATATATTAGGGACGTTTTTCCCGATTAATAATGTTGAGTGAATAAATATTAGATTGGCACTTTTTTTGCAAAGACTCTAATTTTAATGTAAACACGCACGAACATGTACACCACACACACACGGCCACGCAGCCCATACAGACACAGATATATACGCTCCCACGCACACACGTATACGCATATATAGATATACATATATACGCACACACATGTGCACACACAGGTGCACACACACAGGCACACACGCCAGAATTTCAGTGGAACACTTTGGGTTTATTATGTTCATATTCTGTGATATTTATTTTGTGCCAATTAATGAAGTTGTTACGGTGAACATGATGCTTTGGAGAGTTCTTGCCGCAGCCCCGTAGACGCTTATGTAAGTTGCAGTGTAGCCAAGGTCACTGGGTCCTTGTGGCCTGTTTATGCATCTAATATTGTACAGTTGATGTATGTATATGTACTTTTTTCTTATGTCTAAGGCATAGTGCTGCATTTGAAAATCAAAAATGAAGCTACTTGTACCAAGAAAGAAAAAAAAAAAACGATTGATATTCTAAATATTCCGGAAGATATTTTTTCTTTTACTTTTTCTTTTTTTATGTCTGGTTAAAAAAAAAAAATATTTGTCTCACGAATACATATTCCAACAAATCTCTAATTCAGTCGAATCAACAATATATGTATTGTTTACCACCCTGATACCACTAGTTCTTCACTTCGGTGTCGCACGCTCAGCTCCATTAAAAATGAGTTTTGGTATAAAGCCCTCCTAATTTTCGCAAATTTGATTTACCTTCCTTTTATCCGTTTAACCTAATGAAAAATATAATAATTTCTTGCTGGTTAATATTTTGTTATATCTTGAATGGAATACCGCAGAAAAATTATAAGTAATCTAAAGACAAAGGACGAAAAAATTCCATCAGCCTTCTACTTCCTGCCGTGATAATTCCGCAGCGCTCCACTACAACCATCGTGACTGGTGCATATGATAATGGCCTCTGGACTATATCTAGTGTTCCTAATGCAATGTTGTTTTTTAACCATGGAATTTCAGATTGGCCATTGTGGGTGTCGTTTGCGCTCCATCAGCTTAATAGTGTAATCCTTGTGATATATAACTTTTGAGTTAACTATTACGTATACCGAGTGAAGAAGCGGTAATATTAGTGTGGTAATGAGCTAACTGGGGTATACACCCGCGGTGTGCTGAAGATACCCGCGTCGTCGTCTTACTAATCTGGCGTGGCCGATCATCCTAGGTAAACGTGCTGCCATGCTTGTATATTGCGTACGACACGTTGTTGTACGGTACTGAACATCGATATTACTGCTGCATATGGTGGTTTGGATCTGTTTCCTAAGTGATAGATGTCAACAGAATTTACCACACACACTGCTTTCTGCTTCACCAGCTAAATTGATGGTAAGGCTACGACAAAGGATAATATCCAGTGTTTAACAAAGGACATCGCTATTTAGGCTTTCGGATTCTTCTATAACAATTCATAGATTAACCACAGATCAACGTTCCTTCAGGGTATACTACGACCACCGCCAGTGGCACTGCGTGATGAACGGCATGTTAGATTAGCATGTACAGAAAGCACTAATTTATTAAGCGTCTTTTTTCAGTCAACACGAAGAATCACTTGAGGTAATTTGTTAAGGAAGAAGTGGATTCGCTTCGTATTTATGGAGGTTACAAACTTCCTAACATTGTACAAATATTTATAAGGCTGACAAATAACATTCCCAGCTCTGTTTGGGTACACACTTCTGCCAGTTCCTAAAATTGTTTGACCATACTATGTTTTTTTCTCAGTGTCTCCCTTGGAAGCCCGAAGCAAGTACATATGTAGAGAATAAGATTGACCCTATTATCAGAAGTCGTAAGTGCAGCTGTGTGATGACCCCCAAACAGGTCTGGACCTAGACAGATACTCACGGTTTCATATCTCTTATGTTGATATCTTCCACGTCCGTATACCTATATTCCAGTGATGACTTCACAATTCCCGTTTATAATTAATTCGACCCAACTAGTTTTATTACCCAGACAACGATAAATGTATCCGGTTTTCGTAACCTAGCTCTTTTTTTAATATTTTAAGACAACCCTTTCTTATCCACGTGTATTGGTAACCAGTCTTCTTGAGGCATATTTGACATAGGCTCACACGTCCTTTTTGACAATAAACTCATGTGATTATTACTACAGTGAATAATTGCAAGAGTTATTAACATGTACCCAGGACAATAAGATTTCCTTTTTGTCTATTTAATTACTCTGTGTGGAGAGAACATTTACATCTGTGAGTATAAAATGAAAAGTTCCTAACATCGCAAAGTAAGTGCCCAACAGATCTGCTTTGGAAATGTAACTCCCTTAGGGAGAGATTTTTAATTACGTGTGGATTGGGATCTTCATGTATGTGAGAAATAGGGCTCTTTCATAGAAATTATTTTAAAAGTTTTACTCTTTTTGTGCACAAGATCTGTTGGTCTGCTATGTTACAAAAATCTATTTAATAACAGTATCCGGAATAGGAATCTCTAATGGGCACTATAATGAAACTTCGTAAGAAAATGTATGTATGTGACTCTTCCAGTTTTAAATTTGCGTAATAAAATATTGACTCCTTTCTTTGTTTGATATATTTTTTCCTTTTCCCTTTGACTTTGGTCTCGTAAGAAAACAAAGAAAGGTAACTGGATCCCATGTGCTATAACTGTTGCAACATTATATATATATATAATATATATATATATGTATATGTATATATATACATACATACATACACACAAACAC